GATTGTCCACTATTAGGTAGATCATTTGATTGTTCATGATCAAGTCTCGGTGTGACATGAGTGTCTGAATGATGGCAGTAGTATCAGGCAGGTCTCCCTCTGTTTCAAGAGTGGCATACCCGTCGTCCTTTTTGGTTGGCTGCGCACGAACATCAGACAAACCGAGCGTAGGGCGGGCGGAATCAAGGCCGAAAGGACTGCTGAGAGTGTCTTTCATGGCCATCGCTGCATAAGCATCCTCCTGGGACTGCGTCACACTAGCCTCCGTACCCCTGGCAAAGTTGGCCTGGCCATCTGCTGTCAGCCACTCCGCATGGTCACGTGTGAATGCAAAGGGCACATGGACTCTGTCCTCCACATTATCTGTTAGGTCCAGTGAAATACTGTCCTCCATCCATGGGTCATGTGACATTGGAGGTGCTCTGCTCGAAAATACCAGCGCAGCCCCCGCCAGCTAAGGTTGGCAGTGGCACTGAGCGGCGCGAGCAAACGAAAGGCAACAAAGGTGATGTCAGCTAAGGCTGACCTCACTTCTGTATGCGAGGCCCTACGACCTGCTGTGAGCCAAACGTTACAGCAAAGTGCATCTGCCGAAAATCAACTGCATCTAGCTTTTAGCAGGGGGCGCATTTCCAAAATACCCAGTAAGAAAAAATGGGGACATCAAGTTGCTGCAGAGGCATGTCACTAGGACCCTGTCACTACTGGTCGTGATCATCAGCATGCGGGCGCAAAAGGGAGAGTAACCAGGCTACGTACACGAGGCCACACAGTTGGGAGTGTAGGTCAGCCAGGGGAGTGAGGAGGGCACCCTGCACATCTTGAGGCATATAGTCTACTGTTTGTTCGATTTCCTGTACCAGAGCATGCAGACCTCGCACTCTTGCATGTAGGGCTGATTCGATCTGGTGGTGCGCGCGTGCTGTATGACGCTGCGGGGGTGCTTGTTCCGTAGGCTGCGTGTCGATTCGAAGGGCCTGCTGTTGTTGCCTGTCATCAGTAGACCAAAAGCCCACTCGCCGAGGGAGGGAACCTGAAAAGGGGCGCGTCTGTAGGAAAATATCAAGAGGGTCTGCGTTCTCTGTGAAGATCCTAGTGCTCACCGCCTCAGCCAACACAGTGAGGAGGTGGCTTTCATGGTGCTGTATGTGCAAAATCATCCTGCGGAGCCGAGTTCGCTTTGCGCCATAAGTTGTGGCCCCCCTAGTGTTGATTGCAATACAGCCTTGATGATAGAGCGGGATGATGGCCCCTTCCACTGTTGCCCGAAGCTTTAGCAGGGCTGGCGGAAATTCAAACCCTTCCGTCCATTCTGGGAAAGGGGTATTTACGTTTTCTTTGACTGCGTCCACTGGAAAAAAATGCAGCAAATAGCACTGCGCCCTCCGCCCCCTATAGACAAAATGTACAATGAGGTCTAGAACCCCATACCGAATATCCTTATGGTGGAGCTCAAAGCGTACAAAGTCAGTGACATCGACATACTTACCATCATCGGCCAGAAACACAGGTTCTGGATGTGTCTGCATGGCTATTTCGATGTGCAGTTTGGCTTCACAAAAGTGTGTGCAGGCAAAACCCGGCTGGTACTATGCAAAAGCGGACAGGCTGGCAAGCTGTTTCTCTTGCTCTGAGCCAAAGGTCTGCAGAGACAAAAGGGGACATTTGGCAGGGGGCCCGTGTCAACATGGGAAGAGGGGCATTGGGTCTCTCTACTGGTTCACTGGACAGGGCACTTCTTTGGGTGTGCAAATGCACGCGGCGGTGGTAGATGCTCATGCGTTCCGTCCTCCGCAACACGATATTGAATATGCCCGTGTGTGATGCACTGCTGTGCAGGGAGTCCACTGCTGGTTGCCTGTCGGGGAGGCCAACCGTTTGCCGGTTCCGTAGTTGGCGGCATCACCGTACTCCCAGGGCTAGCAGGGGGGAAGTCTGCGGCAGCCATAGCTGCTCCCCCTTCATCAGTGGCAGGAATTCGTGCAGCATGCGAGAGTACCGCCAGCAGCTTTTCATGGGTAGGATCAACTGGTGTGTCATGCTTGGGAGGATGCACAGGCCTCTTTGGCTGGGTACGACCAGTAGTTTTCCGTTTAGGTGAGGCTTCCTCCTTCAGAGGGGGGCTTCTATGTCCCGTTGTCTGAAGGCCTGCTTTGACTGGAGCAATAGGAGTCGGAGCAGGCTCGTGCCCTTCCTGCTGAAACAGCGGGTGTTGATCTGCAAGTGAGAGGAGGAGAGCATCAAAAAATTCTGCCAGCGGTAGTCGTACGCGCAGGACCACCTCAACTTGTGGGCGCCCATCTGGGCCCTGAGTGAGGGAACACTGATGAGGGCCAACAATGAAAGGGAGGGCCATGAGCAAAAAGCTGCTACTGGTTGTCCTATCCAGGTGGGCAGAGGCGTGCGATCACTACTCAACTTCGAGCCTGAACAGCAGCAGGCTCTGAGTCTCATGCAATGTTGAGCAAGTGAAACACAACGACCAGAAAGGCAACATAGGCCCATAGCTTGTTAAGTGAGTAATGAAACCAGTGATGCGAGTCAGCATACTCGTTACTTGACCAGCCAAGAAAGACGATAGCTAGGCTCGATCTGTTCACCACTGGAGACCACTCATGTGGCAGCACTCTGCGTCTCCCGCAGGGCGGTGAGTATCGTGTCCATTTCGCTAACTAGCGCCCAGCACGCATTGGCCCCTGGTTGAACATTGCAGTGCTGACGATGTTTATGTAGATTTTGGAAGGTGCGTTGGATGTCGCACGCTAGGGCACGCACTGTGCTAGCACGAGTGATAAGTTCTCGACTAAGCCGTGCGTGCGGCGCGTCGTGACCAGCAATCACGTCCTGGTCAGTAAGAGCCTGTAATGCATACACACCTAGCTGGGCCGGGGGGCGCACTGTATCGGCTTGGGGCGAGCTCGTGTCTCCACTAGTTCTGACTGATTGCTCGTGGATGGGAGTGGGGTGACTTTGTGGCAACAGCCAGGGCGGGATTGGTGGTGTTGGACGAGCTGGGGCAACAGGTACCGCCGGTAGAGTATACATCTGTGAGAAAGGGAAGGAAGCTAAGGCTTCCCCCGGTTCTGGAGGTCTGGCCTGTCCGCGCCCTACCGCCCATCCATGGGGAGAGAGACATTCTGCTTGCTGGAGAATGCGATAGACTATTGCCCTTTGTGGGGCACACCTCCCATGCAGGAGAACGCCATCGTGTGTGATGTGCGGTGAGTCCTCGAAGGGAAAAAGGACCTGCCCACTAGTAAGCACCAGGTAAGATCGACGCATTTCAGCTGGCACCGCAACTAATTGCATCTCCGATATACGAGGGCGTGTACCATCATCCAAAGGAGTCCTTGGGAAGCCAGCAACAGCCAGTCGCAGCGGAAGCTGCCTCTGGGCTACCATCACGTTGATTTGGACAAAATGTACTTCTCCATCAGGGTGTTTATGGACCAGGCGGGCAAAGGGAGTGAGGTCCAGTCCCCCAGACCCAATCTCCATTGGTAAGGTACGCTCAGCTGACTCTGTGCTCCGCTCAGTGAGGATCTGGACTAAGGTCCAGACCCTCTCCACTGGGATGAGATATTGCTTTATGGGTCAGTGGTTGTAGGAACAATCCGCCCGTGGCAGCTGCCTGGTCTGTCGCAGCAGTTTGAGCCCAGATAGCGGAATCTTATTCCAAACTCCAATAAAAGGTTGGTCCAAACCCGATCCCTACAAACGTGTACTTACAACGCGAATAACCAAAGAGGCTCTACTCGTCTCGCACTGTATGCAGATTATACAGCTAAAAAATTAACTGCAAGTTAGACAAGCAAATGCAAACACATCGAACATCACAACGCACTGACATAATGAATCCGCACTCATTATCTTTTTTCTAGCGCGGTGGAGATATCACAGCGGCCTCTTCAGCCACGGACCAGGCCGGGGGTTGGGTGGGCGGGCACAAAAGACAAAAGAACTAGCCACGCAAGAAACGTGAACCCACCCACCCTCCCTTTGGAGGTATTGAACTTAAATGGCCACCATTGGCATTTACTCTGAATCACCTTCGTGACAAAGTAAGAAGAATTGTTCAGCAAAGGTTTCCTAAAGAAACAACAACTGAACAAAGCCGCGAAACCGAGCAAGGGAAAAACACATTGAAGATACAACATGTATCAAAATACATGTTAAAATACAAAGCGTCTGCATTCAAACGCAAAGGTAATCTCAATCTTCAAGTGATCCCCTAAACTCGGAAGTTTCCTCAGACACGAAGTTTCCACTCGCCAAGACGCAAGAGGAAGAGAGGAAACACAAAGGCACGTGCGTACACAAGAGACCAGAGGGAACGGGGAACATCAAAGGAGGACCAACAGAAGCTGCGCCCAGCTTCTAGCTTTTATTTGCGCTAGGAATAAGGTTACATCAGCGCGCTGAGTCGCAACTTATTCCAAACTCCAATAAAAGGTTGGTCCAAACCCGATCCCTACAAACGTGTACTTACAACGCGAATAACCAAAGAGGCTCTACTCGTCTCGCACTGTATGCAGATTATACAGCTAAAAAATTAACTGCAAGTTAGACAAGCAAATGCAAACACATCGAACATCACAACACACTGACATAATGAATCCGCACTCATTATCTTTTTTCTAGCGCGGTGGAGATATCACAGCGGCCTCTTCAGCCACGGACCCCACCCATGCAAATGTGGCTTTCCACTGAACAAAGGCTTTCCTCAAGGAGTGGTGCGACTTCCCCTTCGGGAACACTGGCGGATTCCTCCAAGAGACGGTGTTGGATCTTTCGGGAAGGACAATCAGCGAGGTTCGACACTGAGGGTACACGGCTGTACCACGGAAGGATGTAGAATTCATCCAAATGCTGGGCAACCAGTTGGCAGATAGACGAAATCGCAGGAGAATCGGAGTAGCCACGTATCAAGGCAAATTTAGCACCCTCATTGTCAATGTAAACCATGAGTTGGGAAGATGCAATCAGTCGCCCCCAGAGTCTCAGGGCAATGTCGACAACAAGGGTTTCAAATTCCCCGATGAGGTTTGTCTTCCTTGCTCAAACCACCTTGCAAAACGCTCAGCCTCGACATGAATGCCAAACCAGGAAATCACGGCGCCGTCCGGGGCGGCTAGGAAGGCGCCAAAGCCACCACCACTACTTCTGCAGAAACTCGCATCCGTAAAAAGGAAAAATGTCTCAAGCATCTTACAGGTCAAAACTCTTGGTGAACCAGAAACTAGCCTACCCCGCAAGCGACGCAAAGACTCAACCAGTCTTTCAGAAAGTTGGGAAACAAAGGGATTGGCGTACGCATGTTTCGTGATATCTTGAAGAGCCAGCTTGCCAACTCGCCCAAAAATGAAAGCATCACAAAACGCCAACTTTCCTCGTAAAGACAGTGCATCCTTCTTCACCAACCTCCCGTTGGACAGCACATCATCCAAAATCAAAGTTGCGTCATTGATTCGTTTGGTCGTGTTGCAAACCCTGAGTATCCCGCGTTCTGACTCGGTGAGGTCAAAAAGGACACCCAAAGCCGACACGCTTTCCGAGAAATCATCACTCTTCGGACCCTCACGATCAAATCGCCAACCTAGAATGTCGAGCATCAAGCACAGGGTAGATTGACTGTTGTTGCACAAGCTCGGCATGGAAAATGCAACGAAGTCGTCAAAGTAGCAAGTCAAAGGCAGGATGAACACTTTCGCTGCTATCCACTGTAGAAATCTGGCGCATCTTATGAAGGCGTTGACAGCCGATCGCGAACCAAAAGGCAATGCTACCTGCTGAAAAAGCTTGGCTGAACCACCTTCCGGGTCGTACACAGACAGAAACGAATGTTGCAATGACTCATCTGCGATTGCAAGCTGTCGATACGCCGACGCGAGGTCTAAGGACCGCCCTTTCAGGCAGGACGGCCGTCCCTGGTCCACCAGGCACCTCATCAGATAGGTAGCAAGACTGCAAATTACATCCGGGCCATCCACTGTAGCCTGCTCGAATGTATTCACTGTGGAGTTGACCTGACTTTGGCTCAAGTCATCAATCGGCCTAACCTTTCCAGCTTGAGAAAGGGGGAACCTCCGGGACACTGCAGCACCAACAGGCAGCGTCTCCCACGGAATGGGACCTATGAGCCAACCCTTCTCGACCTCAGTCATCGTCTTGGTCCAGAGGCCCGCGTCCAACTCCACATCGCCACTGCTCCTTGTCATATAGCGTAGAGCTTTGCTGGCTTTGGCGGAGTGCCTGCGCAGGTCATCTTTCGATATCGTGGCTGGAACCAGCTTTGAGGGCAAAACCGATGATTTTGGACAATCTCCTACAAGGTTAAAGCCGAACTCAATGTCATCTGCAAGGGTGTGATCATCATATCCTTCTTGCCGAATGAGGTGCCTCATCAAAGCCACGCGCTTCCTTTCCAAAATACGACGCCTGGCCTCAGGCATCCTGTCCTTCAGGGCCTTTTCCTCACCTTGCAAGGATTTAGCAAGACGCAACCACTCACCCAATTTCTTGCACCTCCAGTTGACCAAGTCCTCGTGGCTCCAGCTAGTCAGTTTCTCGCATGCCAACTTGACTTCAGGAAGCAGCCCAGAAAACTCACGGAAGGGATGCCCCACGAGCACCGCTTGCTCAAGAAATTGCTCAGGAGACCAACGCACGCCAAAAACAAAGTCGTTGCAGTCACCCACAATTTCCAACCGCTCCAATTTAAGATGTGGTTCCTTGCGTGCACAAATACCTCTGTTGCAAACCAAATGCGCTCCCCCCGTCACTGCAACTCCAGAATCCACATCACCCAGCGCCTGCAGTGAGGGGGTGCGGTCCACAGTAAGACTAAAAACTCTCTCCCCCCTTTCTTTCTGTCTTGCGGAGGAGCTTGCTGCCACACGGCGCCAAATAAGTGTTGTCACCTGCTTGCATCACCGTGCAATGCTGTAAGCACCCATCGCGGACATCAAAAGCGAAATGGTGGGGCAAACTGTGCACTACCAAAATATGAGAGAACTCAGGGACCGTAGGAAGGGAAGTCATCTTAGTCGGCTGCTTGCCGGCTGCAATGGCGTGAAAATGCGACAGTTTGAGCCTCTTCGACACCTGGGAGACATTGGTCAGCTTGAGGGTGCCTGCAACGGCTTCCAAAATGGTTGTGGCAAGCGCTTTTGCAAGCTGCGGTGTATACTCTGCCTCGCGAGCGGTATCGAACACGCCATCTTGTATGCTCCAAGGTGCGTGTTCATGGTCATTAGAGCACAAGATATTTAAGGCCATGACTGCCCGATTGTTTGACGCTAAACAAGTCCTCTTGAGCCGTGTCCCGCCAAACATGCAATTGTGCAGCTCACAGTACCAAACCTTCAGTTTTTCATCCACACTCTTCCAATAACTTGTCAACCACAACAAGCTTGTCCAGGGGTTCTCAACAGTCCACGTGATGCGCAGTCGATCCAAAGTCAGAATGAGCTCGGACATGAACCGATAAAGCCTGTTGGCTGCGCGCAGCCTGGCCAAATTGACACCAGAGACTCCAGGGAGGCCGTCCGGCCAACGAGCACTGCGAAGAGGTGGAGGACCATGGTGTGTTTTGTTCATACGTTTGAAGCGTGCCCTCGAGGCTGTTCCACAAGGCACTCCGAAATGCACCCACAAGCATTTTCCGGAAGTAGCCCAGTCGATCACCAACGCCTGATGATCGTTTCGTGTCAAATCCAAACAAATCACTTTGACCCGTTGCTTTGCAACCTTATGATCCACACCAAAACTGTCGGGAAAGAAATGCTTCATTGCAAAGGTCAGGTTACCTGACCCACAAAATAATTCAATGCAAAAATAACCACTCGAGCCAAATTCAGGTTTCACGTGTTCAGATGAATCTGCACGTTCATTCTCCATCTCATGGCTCGGCCGTTTCCTTGCAGGATGTGGTGAAACTGTATGTTCTCGGAGTCACTGATGCTCCGTTTGCGGATGATTTTTGTAGCACCCGGGCACTGCGCAAACATGTTTGCGGGCGCAGGCGGAACCCTGTTTGCAAGTACCCAAGTTGTAGCCAAAACAAATCTGATCACCTTGTGGGGTGCGTGAATGCATGCCCTTAAGGCCTGCTGGCACCGGCTCTCTCTTTTTGTTTTTCCCTTTGCCTTTCCCCTTCGTATTCTTTGTGAATTTGTTCGGCTGAGGCTTCTCCGAGCTTGCCTCCGCCTGACGCTTCTTGTCGGTCTTGTTTGAATCGCTCACATTGCTAGAGTTGGACTGAATAGGGACTGGCAACATGAAATAGGTCACCGAAACATCATTCTCCAGCTTCTCAATCATTGGGTCCAAGGGTTTGCCCGCCATGGGCATGACCTTCAATGACCCAGTGAAGGTTTCACTCAAACGCACAAAGGCCTGTCGGTCTGCTCGTAGAAGCTGTGCTTGAGAGATTTTCGAAAAACCTGGGGCGGCTGGCTGAGAAAAAACCGCAAACATCCGATCAACCCATTTCTTCATGACCTCATAGGTGGCCAAGTTGGCAAGGTCCATGGCAAGGGCTCTACGCTGCATGGCTTGAAAAAGAGCTAGATCCGATGTCAAACTAATCTCCTGTGTGATGGGCTGCTCCTTGATGATCAGGCCGGTCTTGGAAGCATCCAACTGCAGCTCCTTTTCAGGCTTTGCTCCCATCAACTCCTGCTGCCGAGACAAACACTTGGAAGGACTGATGTACGCGACCTCATTGCGCTCCACCATCTGAGCACACATGTCATACAGGCTATGCGCTGGTTCCAAAGGACCTGAGATATCCAGGCCCCTCAAATGCTGACGTTGCAACGCCAGCCTGGCATCGCGTTCAGGCGCTGGCATTCTTTTGGGAGTCAAGTCATCGCCCTTGGCCGCAGACTTGAACCTGTGAATCATAAGGGTTTGCGATTCAAATAAGATCCTCTTGAAGGCTGAAAGATCTGCTATCGTGGCCACCACTCCAGGCCTCAAATTGGCCATGAAGCGTGTCACTTGATCATCGCTTGCCACCGTACCCGGACTTGTAATTGCAAAACTCAGCTTTGCGAAGGTGGCCACACCGTTGTTTTTCAACGATGAGACCCAAGGCTCTGATAACCCACACTCATCTGCCTGCTGACAAAATGTCGCTTCAGAATCCAGCAATGAAGAAAGAGCCATGATCGCCCGGGATGCTGAGCTAGGAGCGAAGTTCTCGAAAAATATGAAACATCTATCACAAAAGAAAGTTCGAAGTCTGCAGAGTCAAGTCTCTCTTGACAAACATGTGAGGATGAACTGCCTATCCAAAACATGCAGACACAGAGATGTTCACCGACCTAAGTCGTTGAGCGCTTTCGCTTTGAAGCTCCTATGAGCAAAGAAAATTTCAGTTGCTTCCAACTAAAGCCGAAATACAGTTGCTCTCAACTGTTTGATTGCCTTTGCAATCCATCTGCTTTCAGACATGTCTCAAAAGCTCGTTACACTTAGCTACTACATGTTGTGCGCAAACTCCATCAAAGGCGCAAACAAGCACATAACACATCAACCTAACAGATTCCGTGAGGTCACCGTTTTTGTGCCTTTGGGTCCGCGCGCGCGGACCCAAGCTGCCAAAATGGTGACCTTTTCACGGATCTTGATACATCAACCGCGCGAAACACAGCACTATTTCGCACAAGTGCCAAGTTCAAGCTCGTTTGAGACGTTTGGCCTTTGCCGCATCAAGTGCTTCTGCCATTGCAGATGCTGAGGTTATCACCTGACCCTTATAACACCGGCTACATCTTGCATTCAAGGTTGAGCAGCCCTGCATGAGAAGTTCATAAGTCGAATCTGAAACCAATCTGCCGCAAAAGGTCTTGCTTGGATCTTCTGAGCATTTGTGCACAACCTGCGATTTGACATTTCTGAGGACAGGTCCCGGTATGAAGTCATCACTGGGAATAGCCTCAGGCATTGGAACATCACCGGCCTCTGAACTGCTCGAACTCGTGGAAGCTAAAGAATCGCTGTCCTCAGCACTCTCTGCATTATACGACCTCTTGTCCGCAGCCTCAGAAAATTCAGCATCGCCCAATGGAGACGTCGGTACCGCCTCAATGTCGGGTTCCAGCTCGGGAGCTCGCTTAGTTGAAACCTGATGCCCATGTACATCAGTATCAACTCCAATGGTTTCGTTTCTCTGAATCTTCATCAAGTCAATCATTCTCGAGGTGCGGGACTCATCAGGACGAAAATGGTCGCCGCGTATGTTGACCAGCATGCTGCAGTACAATTGCAAGGGACGAGTCAGCATGTCCCGTGAGTAAACTGACATCGATTTAGTGCCCTGCAGCTCATGGTGTCCAAGTAGCGTACGTGCTGGTTCATCAATGCCATAAGATGCGGACCAGCTCAAAGTTGTATGCTTGAAACTGTGTGATGTCAATCTATCCGATTCCGCCGTCTTCAAAACTTTGTTGATGAAAGCAGAAATCTCATCTGAAGTGCAACTCCTCTTACAAAGGAGACCATCTGTTCCTGGAGCTCTGCATAGTGGTCCAAAAGGAATCGCATTTCGATCAACCTTCAACGCCTCGAATGTACCCAACCAAATGGGAGTCCAGTCAACTTCTGTGATGCCCTGAATTGGACATACAACTGGAATAAACCGCATCTTCTTCTTCAGTGAAGTTGCTGTCTTGTGGAAAGCGGTCTCCGTTTCAATGAAGCCAAAAAATTGACCCTCAAACTCATTCCGATCCAGCCAAAGGCGATGCATATGTTGCAGGTCAGACCATCTAGATCTGGAGAAAATAGCAAACAACACCGACCCAAGCATGTACAAATCAATAGTATCCAGCTTGGAAAGCATCATCCTCTCCAACAGAGCGACCTCCTGCGCCTTCAAAGGTCTTGCGGGGCAATATGCATCCTTGGTCAGCAAAAGCCTCTGAGCTCGACCTTTCAGTTGCGGGTCTGACAGCAATGTATCATGTATTGGAATCTGCATCACATACCTAGCAAATCTGAGCGCTTCCAAGAAAGAGATACCCAGGCTCGCTGAAGGTGTTCTCGCATCTGATGAACTCAAATAAGCCAAACACTGTACACGATTCCAGGGATCCCAAACAGCGCATGTATCTTGAAGCCGCTTGAAGTACTGCAGCAAAGCCAAACCTCTTTTAATAGCTGTACGTGGAGACTTCACCCCCAAAGCATCTCTCAGGACCAGACCATGCTCAGCAGGATCCGCGAAATGAAGCTCGTTTTCCAAAGCCGCTCCTAACTCACCAGGAAAACCAAGCACCTCACAGACTTGTAACCATTTGTCTATGGCTCTCGTCCACAAAACCTCCAACTGTGCGAAAATGTCTTTGTCCGGCCTGACCTTGATAGCAAAAGAATAGAACGGCATGTCAAGGTCCCGACTCACAACCTTTTGCGCAGCATCTGCGACTCCACCAGTGGCTGCCAAAGATTGAACATGTTCTGAAACACTCAAATATTCCGCAGGCAGTCCAGGTAAAGCCAAAGTATCACTTGGTCCAGAAAAAATGTCCCCCGTGACACCTGACTCCCAAGGATACTTCAGTTCGGTATCAGATAAATTCTGCAGTCTTGCCTCGAAAAGAGCCTTGTTGACATCTGCTCTGGAAAAAGGTATATCCGACTGTGCTGCATGATGTGACTGTCCATCATGATACTCTGAAGTGTCAGGACAAGACTGCATTGATTCCAAATCAAACGCATTTCCAAGGTCCGGGCCGTTGGATAAGTCATCCTGTGGCAAATGAGCAACACCCTGATCAGGCACTGAACAAAAAGACTCATCCGCATCTGGCTTGTCTAGCATACTTGCAAAGCTTGCAAACTCATCAACGTTCATGGTTCTCAAGGTGCAGTCTGAAAAGTTCTAACTCCTCCTCAATGTCCTGGTAATCAACCCTGATGCAATACGTTGTGCAGCAGAAAGCTCTCAAATCACCAGTTGAAAGGAAGGAGAAAACGTAAACACAGGAAAACTCGCAGTAATCCCACAAGCACCACGTGACGCTAAAAATCTCACAGTCAGCCAAATTGTCGTATCTGTCCAGATCAAGCTGAAGTGCCATACAGGATCAATCACCCATGGCTGCACAAAAGACAAAAGAACTAGCCACGCAAGAAACGTGAACCCACCCACCCTCCCTTTGGAGGTATTGAACTTAAATGGCCACCATTGGCATTTACTCTGAATCACCTTCGTGACAAAGTAAGAAGAATTGTTCAGCAAAGGTTTCCTAAAGAAACAACAACTGAACAAAGCCGCAAAACCGAGCAAGGGAAAAACACATTGAAGATACAACATGTATCAAAATACATGTTAAAATACAAAGCGTCTGCATTCAAACGCAAAGGTAATCTCAATCTTCAAGTGATCCCCTAAACTCGGAAGTTTCCTCAGACACGAAGTTTCCACTCGCCAAGACGCAAGAGGAAGAGAGGAAACACAAAGGCACGTGCGTACACAAGAGACCAGAGGGAACGGGGAACATCAAAGGAGGACCAACAGAAGCTGCGCCCAGCTTCTAGCTTTTATTTGCGCTAGGAATAAGGTTACATCAGCGCGCTGAGTCGCAACATAACGGAGACAAAGCACCAGGCAAAGTACAAACCGCAAACGACAAGCGAAAAATAACCAATAAGCAAAACAAGCCACAAAAGTACAGACAGGCAGGGAAAGAGCCAAGTGAGTGCTTTTCCGCCCACTCTGATTTTTGTCTAAAGGCAACCACGCAACGAGGGAAGTGGCGACAAGGAGGCAGCTCAAGCAAAAAAGGGGGTTCCTTGCTTTTGTTCACCTAAATCGCGAATTATCGTACGCGCCGTCGTTTGGCATTGTGTACTTTAATCCTTTTCGCGAGTCGTTGTTCGAGGGCTTCCTGTTGCTCTGGGTGCGCGCCAGTGAAAATGCGTTTTCTGTATATGCGCACTACAGCAGGGAGAGGCCGTGGAGAGGAGGTATGGGAATGTGAGCCGGTGACAGGAGCCGCAGAAGTACATTCAGATAGCAGTTGGGCAAATTTGGGCTGCAAAGGATCACACCTCATCAGCGGCGGCTCGGCAGGGTCAAAGCCAAAGGTCTGGCAGAGATGAGTATGTAGGGCTGTGAGCGAGGCATTCTCCGGTCGAGGGGCAACCCAGAAGCCATCATGCAACCAAATGGCTGAAGCAAATCCTACCCGAGGTTGCAAGAAGGAATAGGCAGCCCATGTAACCTGCTGTTCAAGGACCTCGAAATAATGAAAAGGAGCCCCTCGCCCTGTCCGTTCTAGACCAGAAGGGCACCATGAGGGAGGATGGTGCATGGCATAGCGACTAGCAGCGAACACTTCCCGAGCAAAGCTCACTAGATGGTATGATAGCTCCACTTGTAAACGCTTTTTGAGGTACTCTATAGCTTCCTGCGGAGTGGCACTGTTGATGATAACAAGTGGCCATGTCTTTACCAGGGGGGGCAATTTCATCCTCTGCAATGTGTGTCCGAAGAGCTTCTTTGAGATAGTCTCTCGTTTGCGCAATTGGCTGTAATGTTAGGTGAACCTCAGCTGTCTTGCATTGTCGTCTCATGAGCTCATAGTGCGCTCCACTAATATCTATCTCCCAATGTGAATTGCCAAAGAGGAGCAGCCTAACCTTTCGCGGCAGCCGCTGCGCTGCATTGCCAACTGAGTAGAGCCGGCCTCCCAAGGCATCAACCGTGGGCTTGTACCCTACGCTGAGGCAATGAGAGGACGACACTGCCAAGGCAATATAGTCCATTGCGACCCATTTATAATGTGGGTGCCTTCGGAGTAGTGTGTGCATTTCTTGGGGAGTGGGGGAAGGGCACTCCGTGAGAACAAAGGCAGGGGTTTGCAATGCATCTCCCTGCTGAATGATGAAGCCCAGAGCTTGTGCTAAGTGAAACGGCGGGAGCGCCACATGATGCAAGGGGACAAGGGGGTTGCCCCCCGCCTCCTTAGCTGCAGCACTAGCCTGACCAGCAAAGTAGTCTGCTAGGCGATTGCACTCCCTTGGTAGATAGACAAGACGGAACAGACAAGGCGCTCGGGCAAGCAATTGTTGGCATTGTTCTAAAATGGCGACAACCGCGGGTTTCTTGA